TTAAGTGTTGTTTAACCCCGTGGAATCAGTGTTTCTGGTCTGAATGCACCAAGAGGCTGGATGCAGGTCAAGCGAGGTTAAAGAGGACAGCAAGGACCTCTTATGTGAGCTGGACACTTTTGAGGACCACTGCAAGGGGCACTGAGTCAGTTCATTGATATTCAAGGGTTTGACCCACTGACAACAGGGATGTCACTGAGGTTAAGACAGCCGTGCCTCTGTGTATTGTGTCGGGCCAAAAAGCCAGAGGTTCCCCCGGCTCCTCTCTGCACAGTTGTCATGGTGAGCAAATCAGTCCGGCAACACTATGTCACCCTCATGTGGGCACATTCTCTTTTCCTTCCCCTTTTGCTTTTCTTTCTCTGACTTTCTATCATGCTGCTTCACCGAGGGAGCTCCCAAAGAGCTTTCTGTCCACTGACAATGCCTGCAGTGTCATGGACATCCTATATACTGTACAGTGCAAAGAAGAGTGGGCTCTGAAAATCCAAGGGTTACTTTTTTCCAAAACACATAGCGAGCGACTGATACATTTCCTCTCGGTTCTTGGATCAGAGTGAGAGTATCCAAGGACATGTCAGGTCAGGTGGTAAATATGCACTGCAGGTCACCAAGTCCAAGTAACTGCCAATCATATTTCATCCAGCAGCTGGAGTGAAGGACTGTGACACCCGTTCAGCCTCACTGCCACTGAGTTGGTGTCATGTGCATTATTAGTTTGAGCCTAAGACTAGTCTGTTTTATAGTAATGGGCCACAGTAAAATCACAGCAACTGAAGCTCACAGATAAAAGCAAAAATCAATCAACAGCAATTAATTTCATTCACCTGTAGAACATACATTCTTCATAAACTTACTCAATGGACTGATGTTTGACAGTAAGCCTCTGCGCCGTCTTGTTGTCACACAAATATGTTCCTAGAGCCAGTGTCAAGGAGATTATACTGAAGGGAAAATTGCAGCTGTATTTAGCCATATAGCTGGAGCTAGAGTTGCTGCTCTCAGGTGATGAGGCATGTCTGTGCCTCGCCCCATCTGAACCTGATGGCTGCTGCGGTTGGTACTGTAATTATAGAGGTTAGGCACAAATCACAGAGCAAGCTGTGAGAGAGAGGGAGAGATGGTAGAGTGAGAAAGGGGGAACGATGGATAGACAGTGACAGAGAAAGTAAGGACTAGAATGGCCTCAGGGCCAGAGGAGGTCCTGACACTCATAAACACACTGTTCCCTTCTAAATCCTCTCACCTTCAGTCCCTTCTCTTACTTGCCTCTTTTTTTTTCTTTTTCTGTGCTCCCACATAGTTACACACACTTTCAGTCTGTCTCTCAGGGTTCACATCCTTCCTGTGTCTGTGACACAGGCACAGGACTAGGCCAGGTCCTTTACTGGTCTTGTGGGTTCCTGACTACCCCACACTCCTTCATCCTGCACACATTAAAGCAGTAAGCACTAGACCACAGGAAATAATGAGTGCGACTGCTGATGTGAACCTCTTCCTGTCTTCTTGCTTTCATCTCCCTTTGAAGGGAAATGTTAGATTCTCTACAAAATGCGATGCATTTTCGGAAAGACCAGATATATCTATGTTTTATTTGGGAAATATAGTTCTGTCCTATTGTACTGCTGACTGACAGGTGTCTTTAGAACAGAAATATGTGATATGTTGTATAAACCTGGGGTGTTATAAACTGTACTGTAGGTATCAGACAGTAGGCAGAATGATAGTTTAATGCTGAAATAACTTTATGATTAATAAAATGTACTTCTATTGAATGCTGCTCTTTACCTGCTTTATATTTAATGTTGCATTTTTTTCTTGCCTCATGACAATAAACTGAATGTCATGTGTATAACCAGTGGGGTGCCCCTCTAAACAAAATTCAGCAGAAGAAAAAAGAAACATCAAGTGGTGAAATGCTCACATAACATTGCCTTCATCGGAGGAAAATCATTTTGGTTCATGCATATATGCAGTAAAGATAAGTGCCATATTAAAAGTGCCTCTGAATGTATCCAGTGAAACACAAATGAATGAATGGTCATATTCAGTGTATTAAACATCTTTGATCTTGATCTCTACCTGCTTTCCAAGGAAAAGGAGTTTTCAGTGTCTTAAAAAATGAGAAAAAAATGTCCTCATAAGCTTTAAATGTGAAGTGTATATACAGGCACACTGTGCTGTAGAACCATGGAAGTGAAGGGTTATTTAGCAGAGTATTTGGAACCCTGATGTCCAGTGTGAGTTGTTATGTTTAGTTATGTTTACTTGATGAGTGTAATATTTTGATTTGCCTTACATTTATTCATTCTGAATATTTACAGCCAGTAATAAACAGCTTACAGTTGCCTATGATCGAAGGACAACTCCACTGAAAAGCTTGAAATTCCACTCTTTTTTGATTAACAGCCAGCTGTGCAGGTGCTCTATAGCATCAGATCATACATTACCCCCCATGTTCAACCAGCAGTATCTTGTGCAGGAGAGAAAATCTATGGAATGTCATTTCATCCTTTGAGCCATGTAATGGGGAGTCTGTGGCCAGCTGATTTAAGGACATATGGAAATGAATATATATCTGCCACAGCTGCTGTACACTCCATCCATACCAGACAAAGATGTAGGCGTGGCAATGAAGATGAATGCTCTTCATGTAAAGATATTGTTGCTAAGAAGACAATCAACACTTCTCATTGCATTTAATGCCCAAGACAATGAAATGACAGGTTACAAGGACCATGGTTTACTTTTTAAATAAAATATAAACAAGGGAAAATATCAAGCACATTAATCTTTCATTAAGCTCACCGGATAAAAAAGAATCGCTTAAAGTATCATTCGTTACCATCGCTGCAAGTGCAAAAGCCCCCTGCTAACATCAAAGGCTTCCCAAAGAAATAGAGCAGGAGAGAGTCAGTTAGCTGGGTTTGGCTGAGAACCAGCTTGTGGTTGGGTTTTAATTTCAACTGATGCATAATGGCACAGAGCAGGAAATGGGGACCCCATTGATAATGGATTTTGTGGCATCAAGACCTCTCATAAACAATGTGCTGCAAATTCAGACTGGGTGTTGACAAAAGTTAAGAGCTCATCCTCATCGTGCATGAGTCTTTGTGTCATTAAAAGATCAGAGGCTTTTCATGGCCAAAGAATGAGGAGACTCCCTTTCACATACGTACTCCACACACACACACACACATGATTAGCAGGAGGAGGAGTGGCTGGCATGTTTTTGAGGACTATGTAACAGCACTCAGACTGATCCTGTTTTGTATGTTTGGGTGGGGCTTGTGGTGCTGCAAATGTTTTGGAGCTGTTCAATTGAGGAACGAAGAATAATTTAGAAAATTAATGTGAAACATGTCGGGATTTCTTTAAGGAATTAAATAGATGCTGCCACTGCTTTTTATGGCCTAGTAGTTGTGGGTCATTAAATGTTTTACATATATACATATACTGCAATGGGCTGGCGACCTGTCCAGGGCGTACCCCGCCTTTTGTCCGCAGCTGGCTGGGATTGGCTCCAGCCACCCGTGACCCCGTTTGGGACTAAGCGGTTTAGGAAATGGATGGATGGATATATATGTATATGGGATTGTGCTACCAGAAGGCAACACAGCAGATGTTGAGGACAGCTACAAGTACCTTGGGATCCCGCAGGCAAATGGGAACCATGAAGAGGCAACAACTACCAAGTACCTGCAGAGAGTAAGGCAAGTCCTGAGAAGTCAGCTGAATGGAAAGAATAAAGTTCGGGCAATTAACACCTACGCCCTGCCGGTCGTCAGGTACCCTGCTGGCATAATAAGCTGGCTGAAGGAGGAGATAGAGGCCACTGACATCAAGACAAGGAAGCTCCTTACAATGCACGCCAGGTTTCACCCCAAGTCCAGCATCCTGAGACTGTACACTAAGCGGAAGGAAGGAGGCCGAGGGTTAGTTAGCGTCAGAGCCACTATCTAGGATGAAACAACAAAGATCCATGAATACATCAGGCAGCTGGCCCCGAGTGGTGATGTGCTTAGTGAATACCTCAGGCAGCAGGACAAAGCTGGACTGAAAGACAGCACAGAGGCACTAATCCTGGCAGCACAAGAACAACTACTAAGTACAAGACAGGGGTCTACCATACCAGGCAGGACCCCAGGTGCAGGCTGTGCAAAGATGCCCCTGAGACAATCCAGCACATAACAGCGGGGTGCAAGATGCTAGCAGGCAGGGCATACATGGAACGCCATAACCAAGTGGCTGGCATAGTGTACAGAAACATCTGTGCTGAGTACAGGCTGGAAGTCCCAAAGTCAAAATGGGATACACCTCCAAAGGTGGTTGAGAATGACCAAGCTAAGATCCTGTGGGACTGGTAATGGCCAACCAACTGAACATAGTAGTGGTGGACAAACAAAAGAAGAAGGCCGTAGTGATAGATGTAGCAATCCCATCAGGAAGAAGGAACAC